TTATATATATATATATATATATATATATATCATCATTTTGTTAACAGGATTTATCCTGTTTTCATTCTTTTTTTTTAATTTGTTTTGTTTTTTTTTTTTTTTTTTTTAGGATTTACGTTTTTTTCTTCCTTTCTTTATATCTAATATTCCACGGTTTTATTATTCATCGCGAGTTAAAAATAACTCTTTTTTTGAAAAAGTTATTAAAACACTTCTCGAAAAATATTCATCGAATCAATGAAACGATTCTAGAATAAAAGTTACTGGAAACAAGTTTCAAAGTTGGAGACTTTTGTGCTACAATATTACCGAGATCTATATAGTTGGTGGGGACGGAATTCGTACACGGATTAATTTCAAAAAAGTTTTCATAAAATTATACGATTTGTCCGATTTTTATAAAACGGAGAATTCTTGTAGAATTTTTGAATGTATGTATACAAAATAAATCTCGGGAGATGGATTACTCGCGTAATTTACAAAATGGTTGAAGAATGTATTGAAATTTACGAATAATAAATCTCACGTTACGTTGAAAAAAAATTTCTATAAAATATTCATATTTATTTTTAATTTACAATCATCTATTTTATTTAACAACGGTATCAATAATAAAAGATAAAAAAAAAATCGAATAAATATTCATTAATTTAATTAAACTCGCACGATCAATTTTATTTCCCAACGTTTCATCCAATATTCTATCTTCGAATGTAAATATTCAATAATTCCCGCATAATTTCCACGGCCACCTCATTTTATAAGTATTTATCGCTTTCAATCGCTCGTATATTATGCTATAATCAAATTAAAAGCGTTCTACTAACAAAATCCCGATTAAAAGCTACGGCTCGATTAAGCGTCCTCCACGTTTACTGGTCGCCATTATTTTCCAACAGCTTACATCGATAACTTCGCAAAGTTCAAACACGGGATACGTTGTGCACTGCGAGGCTTCCACACAATTTCGGTGCTTCTCTAGCTTCCGCTATGCTTCGCTTAACCCCCGGATTCCCAACCTGTGGGTCGTAAGAGTAGCAAAAATGTTTGCTGGAAGGGGCTGGAGAGGGGGAAAGGGTTGCAATGTATTTAGTCGAGAGTTATCACGATTACTTTATAAGAAATTTCGTAAAGATTTTTTTCAGAATTTATTTATTTGCATTCGTACGTTATTCAATATATAAATCAATATGTTCACTTACTATTCCCATTCGTATTATTTTTACGAATGGAAGAAATTTGGCTCGATCGAGAAAAACAATGTAGTCGCAAAGTCGTAGATGGTTGGCAAACACTGGGTTAAAAAGCGTTTAAGCACAGGTCCTCGATGCGAAACTCAAATCGTCCGATTGTTAAAAAGCTACCTTCGTATAGAGAGGAGAGGAAAAAAACAAAAAAAAGAGGTAGAAAGCTCGTCTCGGACAAAACCTGCACGTTCAATTCCAGCAAATTTCGCGTACGGTTATTTCCCAGTTATTCCCGATGATGAGTACTCGAACGAGCAACTTTCCCGCTCTGTATTCCCTCGATGCACACGCGCGCGTTCACACACAGCCGCGAGATAATAAAAACGACCGGTCGAATAAAGTTTTTATCGGCTTGTTAATTTTCGTGGCGGCCGCGGCAACGAAGCGCACGCGATTCGCTTTTGAAACTATTCCTACTATCCCGCTTATCATTGTTCCTTTCGCACCGGTATCCCCCACGAGGGACTAATGTTATTTATTCCGAAGAGCGTAGAAAAAAAAAAAAAAAAAGATTGGCACACAAACGCCGCTGTTCTCGTAAATACGAGAGCACCCATACGCCCCCTACATCGATACACGGTGTACTACTATACGCCTAGCCGGACTAGCCGGACTAGTATCGGTGGGCGGACGAAGTAAAATCTGAATCGAACGTGCAGGTGTCCGTAAATAAACTCGTTGCATCGAGTTTGTTGCGGCGAACCGTTGGAACGTGAAGAGTGGTTACGCTTTCGCGGCTTGCTCGTCCGCTACAAAGCCTCGGACCCGGAATTTTTATTTCGCCAAACTGTTTAAGCCCGATCCCAACGACTCGGCTCGGAGAATATCGTTTACATAATTGCCACGGGCCAGTACGCCATCTCGCGTGACTCGAACGAACTACATACAATCGCTTGTATTATAGCAAGAAAGTAGAAAAGGTTATTTATAAGTCCGACAACTTATGTATACGCGCGATCCATTAAAGGTTACGGGTTTCTATTCAATATTAAAGCGACAGCTTTCGCGGGGATAGAGGCAAGCGAAGAATAGGATAAGGATTATTGAAGATGGAAAGGAAGGAAACGGTTAGCGGACTGCGGTTGAAACATAAGCAATCGTGGGAAAATGCCTTTATCTGGCGAGAAGGGGAGAAGGTATATAGGAAAACGTAGGCGATCATAGGAAGTTGCGAGTGGTAATTCGAAACTTTTCGCGGACTTGGGATCGAGCTCTGAGGCATTCTTAGTTCGTATATATTTGTCTATATACACGTGTGTTGAGTTGGCCTTCTGGCATTGGACCAATGACATGTTGTTCGATTCATTTTATAAAGGAAAACAGGCCAGATAGTTTCTACATGGACTGTTTCCAATAGGCGTGATTCGATCGTTGGTGGAAAAAAAAAAGAATGATTCGATGTTTAGCATATTGAGGATGCTTGACGTGTTTCGAATGGATAAAATGGCGGTGGCGTTGGTTATAACCGACTTGTAATACTTGTGCTCTTTTTTTCCTCTTTCTATTTTTTCTTCTTTTCTTTTATTTTCTTTTTTTTCTTTTTTTTTTTTTTTTTCTTAGTTAAATAGATTCTTTAAGTATTTAAATATTCGTTGATATATTAATGTATCAACGAAAGGAAACGTACGGAATAATAATGAAAATATGAAATTTATGAGGAAAAGTTGCATGTGTACTTAATATATTATTTAATAACTCTATAAACGTGCATACCATGATATTGATTTGCTGATGGTAATCAATATTAAGATACCGTTGTGCCGATCCCATTTTCCTTCGTTTACCTTACGATACTATTTTATCATGGTACCAAGCTCATATTCTTGCGCGTAATCTCGATTTCTTCTTGCAATTTGTGAATCGTAATTTCAACTGTAATTTGAATCAAGACAGGAACGAAGCACGAAGCTCTTCGTCTCGTAAAGCACGTATAATTTTCATCAACGGTGTATATTTCGATACAAAAGAAGATATTATAAATACAATAAATTGAATAATGTCTCGGGCGCAATTTCAGAGATAGAATAATATTTTCTATATGTTTAAAATCACTCGAGTCTCTCCATTTTTTTTTTTTTTCTTCTTTATCTTTATCGTTTCTCCAGCTTTTCTAACATTCCTTAATTACCTTTTATATTATTTTAAAAGCATTCGTATCATCGTATTTTCTCCAACGTATTTTTTTTTCCGAATATTCGTATCAAAAGAGGATAATAATTAACGTCACGATCCACAAGTCGTAACGTAATATAGGAAATTGTATTCAGCGGTTAAAAAACTATCATTTCTTGCTTTACAACAACTTCTGCTCGCTTATCTCGAACAGCAGGTGTTGCAAATGACCGAGCATGTATTTTAACAAATCTTAGATATTCTTTTTAACGTATCCAGCTGTTGCTACAATTTCCATTGGAAAATCTCCTCGTTTAATTCCTCGTACTCGAATCTCTTCTTCTTGTTAATTAAATCCGCTGCGTGTATATAACGGGTTCAAAAATAGACCAGCTGTTAAAAGCTCTAATGGATCGCATTCGTCGCAAAAAAATAGTTGAACCAAAAAAATTTAATTGTTTTTCTATAAATACATGCATCTCGCTCGTCGTTCGTTTATTTATCTTTCTCTTAAAAAAAAACGTTCTTCTTTACGTTATATCGAGTTTTATTCCATCTCGTTAATTAGTCGAAAATATAGCCTCGCTCTCATCCTTAGAGCCTACTTAGGGAAATTACGTGGAAATTATTGAATGGGAAAGTGTAACGAGTCGGGTCGCTTCCCCGGAAAGCCCTGAAAGAAAAATAATGACACGTTTCGAATTTACGATGTCTACCGTGATTACAAGTTCGGCCGAGAGAGTCTCCGCGCTTCGCCGGAGGACAATGGCAGCCCGGGCAAACACTCGTTTCAATTACATACAAACATGTTAGGGCTTGATTGAGATATTCCACCGGGCGAACTTTTTCCCTTCCCTCCTTTCATTCAGCGGACCGATACGGCCTTAATCAGTAATTTAAATGAACTTAGCGAACTCGCTCACCGAACCTAATTTCGCTCGTTCTCGCTCGAAAATGAGGAGAATCCGGGAGAACGTGGAAAGTGATAAAAGTTGAGTCGAGAGAAAATTTTTCGATCGTTTAAATTTTTGCGTTTTCTTTTCAATAAAAAAATGTTCGGTTGCAGGGCAGTCGCAGCGAAGGAGGAGCTCATATGGAATGGCATCGCGTGGACCCTCGGCGACGACGACGGTGGCAATCGCGATAGCGATGGCCGTCGCTATGTCAGCGATGGCGAACGGCCTTTGCCCGACTCAATGCCGTTGCGACGACGAGAGCTTGCGCGCCTCGTGCGCGTACGCGGGCCTCGAGGTCGTCCCGATCCAATTGAACCCGGAGATCACCCACCTGGATCTGTCCAACAATCGCGTGGCCAATATCCATCTGTCGTTCAGCTTCTACGGTAACCTGGAGGCCCTCGATCTCACGTCGAACGCGATCCACACGCTGGGCTCGGACAATTTCGTCTTCCAAAAGAATTTGGCCACGTTGAACGTGAGCGGGAACGCGATAAGAAACTTGACCAAGAACTCGTTGCAGGGGTTGGCCTCGTTGAAGGAGTTGAACCTTGCCGGGAACAATATATCCGACATGGACGAGCAAGCGTTCAAAACCACCAGCGAGTTGGAGACGTTGAATCTGAGCGACAACTCGATCACCAGTTTGCCGGATGGATTGTTGAAGAATCTCCACAAGATCCGCGCGTTGATCCTCAAGGGGAACTCCCTGCTCGAGATCCCAACCGAGAATTTGGCCCTGGCCCCCAGCCTCGAGAACGTGGACCTGTCCGACAATCTGATCCAGGAGCTGGACAGGGACTCGTTGCCCTCGTTGCCCTCGTTGGTCTCGCTGGATCTGGCGAACAACGTTATCAGGAACATCGGCGACGACGCGTTCGACCGGCTGCCCGACCTCCTCCGCCTAGATCTGTCCGGGAACAACCTCACCTCCGTGCCCACGCCCGCCCTTGCCAGGCTCAACGTCCTCTCGAATCTGATACTCAGCCGGAACCCGTTGGCTGCGTTGGACGCGGCCGGGTTTCGCAACCTCTACGAGTTGAGGAGCCTCGAGTTGAACGATTGCACCATCATTAGCGTGCACGCGCGCGCGTTCGCCGACAACGTGAACCTGGAACGGATCTCGTTGGACGGTAATCGAGGTCTGAAGGAATTACCCGCGAGGGTGTTGTACAGCGCTAGATACCTGAAATGGGTCTCCCTACGCCGTTGCAGCCTGTCCACCTTGCAACCGACCCAATTCCCCGTCGACGGCCTCTCGTCCCTCCGCGTGGGCGGCAACCCCCTCGTCTGCAACTGCTCCGTGCACTGGCTGTGGAACGTGATCAGGGCGGAGGAGCGGCGGAACGAGTCCAGGCTCGAGCTCGACACCCACGACATAATCTGCACCGACGAGGAGTACGCCGGCAAAGCGTTGATCGCCCTGTCCGAGGCCTCGCTCCGCTGCCGCCTCAGCCCCCTCTACCTCTCCCTGTCTGCGGCAGGTTGCCTGGCCGCAACGGCGACCATCCTCGCGCTCATAGCCCACCTCACGCGGTCCAAGAGGAAGAAACGATTGGCGTACGCTGCCCCAAACAGGCCGGAGTTCCTCGTCTACGTGGGAAGGAGCAACGACGAGTTGGACAAGAGCGCGGAATCGTACAGCAGGCGGTTGCTGGCGCGGGGGAACGGGGAGGACGGCACGCCGTACGACACTCCGCGAGGGGGGAAGCCCGTGGGGGGGCGGCAGGAGGCGAACGTGTACGAGACGCCGAGGTACGCGAGGGCGGATCGTCGGGACAAGTCGGCGGAATGCGGCCAGACGGAGGAGGAGGGCGTGTACGCCGTGGCCGACGTGACCGATCTCCGCGACGAGCCGCCGGAAGTGTTGTCGCTCTACCGGATGCAGAACCCTCCCACCGCACCACCCAACCTCCACCGAGCCCTCGACTCGTATGCTTACGACTACGATTACGATTACGAGCCACCGCTTCCGCAGAAACCTCACGTGGTGTTCGTTTGAGGGAACGAATCGGTCCAAATCGTGCAGACAAATTTCCAACGCTTGGCTTCGTTCGAGGGACACGCTTTGCTCCCCGAAGACGAGATTCGGATATGAAGGATGGACATTACACGTTAAAGATCTATCGTTTGTAAAGATCTAGCGAGAGAGGAGATTCGTTCTGACCGATCCATTCTTAAGTCTCTCTCTCTCTCTCTCTCTCTCTCTCTCTGTCATTTCGAACGGATGTTGCTCGCGGATGAGTAAAATTCGGTTCGAATTATTCGACAATTGTAACCAGATGAACAGAGAGCGGAGGAGGAGAGCGGATCGTCCACTTTGAGGGGGTAAAAGCTGTGGGGGGGGAGGCAAATGGCGGGACTGGAACTCGTGGTGGACGAGGTTCAAATGAAATGTCTTCCGAGAGATAGCCGCGCCGCCGGTGAACAGAACAGAATGCATTTTCGCTGGGGGAACGCAATCTGACTCGGAATGTAAATTGTACGGCGCATAAACGTGGCCACCGTTGTATTACACGGAGGGGGAGGGGAGGGATGGTGGAAGGGCTACGGGGAACGTATTTATTTTCACGGATTGCGTCGGATTCCGTTGGTTCAGTGCAAATGCTGGGCGCCGTGTTCCGAGGCGGGCGTTCATTTCGCATTTAAACGTAGTGACAAATCAAATCAAAGCAGCAGTCTCGTTAGTCCGTTTAAACCCTCCTCTAGCTAGGCTAGCGTCCCAAGATTACTCTACCCACTACTCTCTCCGCCGCCCCTTTCTTTGTTTCATCTCTCTTTCACTCCCCGTCTATTCACCCTTTGCTTTGATTCGATAGTATAAACAACCGGTTACGTTTTCTTCTTCTTCTTTTTTTTTTTTTTATCCCTCATAAATTTCCCATGAAACGAATAAAGTATTTTTCTTTTTTTAATTCTTTGCATCGCGGAAAAAATTGATGACCACCATATTCATCCTGTGAACGCGCGTCGTCGTTCGTTTTTTCTTACGAAGTCTTATCGTAACCGGTTGAAGAATATTTAATTATATCGCCCATTTATTTTCGTTCGTTTATTTCCTTTCTCTTCGCGCGCACACGCATATTCGAATTCGGAAAGTTTTAGGCCGATTTTAGGCCGAGGCAAAAGATTTTCGCGAAACGGTCGGCTACCTCAAGCACAAGGATTTACATAAGCGAGAAACGAGACGGGAAAATGAAGGTGGCGCTGTGTCGTCGAATCCGCGCCTCCATTGTCCTTCCGTCTGTGTTTCTTTACCTTTCTCTCTCTCTGTCTCACTCTCTATCTCTCTCTTTCTCTCTGTCTTTATACCTTTATATAAGGCGTACGTACATTTACAGATATTTATATATATATATATATATACATACATACACTCACGTACATATATATATATATATACGCGCGCGCGCGCGAGTAAAAGCGCATAAGTATAAAAATACACACCACCGAAGGGAGCAAAAGACACAAAGTTTAGAATTCGTAAAAAAAAAAAAGAAAAAAAGAAAAAAAACTGGACGGTTCCTCTTTTTCTTTTCCTGCTTGAGCCCGCTGAAGTCGAGCGAAGAGGACCGTTTTCAGAAGGAGATAAAGAGAAGGAAAAAAGAAGAAGAAGATTGTAAATTGAAGCAATAATAGACGCGACCTTTACCGTTAGGAAAACATATTACGAACACACACACACACACACACACCGAGGTATATTTAGAGACGAGATTTCACGTTTATACAAACTTAAGCGTATTATACATATATATATATATATATACATACATAAATAATATATATATATATTATTTATTTATTATAATTTATGATGTTAAGTTTGGAAAGATGTTACGTTTTGAATACGAGATAAAGAAAAAAAAAAAGAAAAAAAGAAAAAATATACTTGATGCATCAGCAAGAACGTGCGTACGTATCCATTACGAAGCATCATCGGAAGGGGATAGATCGAACTCTCGAGTTCTCGAGTATCGGATGTTTCGATCATAAGTAACTGGGCATTTTGTATGTGATTTACGTATAATTTTTAACTATATATAATTTGTAACTTGTAAGATGAAAGAAATTACTCTCTTCTCACGAATCAAAATTGCGTGCACACACGAAGGCCATTCTTCATTCACAAGAAATGTGAAATAATTTATTTATATAAATCGTGTCCAGCGATTTATGAACGAAGTTGATCGTGCTCCCGCACACGGAAATTGAAAGATTGTCACTCGTCATTTCGCGAAACGATCGCGCGAACTCGATGGTTCGATGGTCGTCATCCATAACACGGCCATGTGCGTTTTATGCCGTCGTGGTGCCGCGTCCTCGAAACGCAACGCGTCTACAAATTTAATGGAATATCGAATTCCGACTGATTAAAGTCTCCTCCCGACGCGATGGCTCCTCGAGAGGAAGTTCGCCAAGTTAAATATTCAATTCGCCACGGTAAACCTTCTCCTCGAGCTCTCGCTCGCTCGAAAAATCTGTAGAATTTCGGGAACAGTAATTCCAATCGAGGCAATAATAATAGCCTCTGATTCGTGAAACGGGGTCAGGTTATTATTCCTTAAAAAATATTAGATCTGATTGGGGGCCGGAGCAATCTTTCCACCCACTCTTTTGAAAATTAGCTTAAAATATTAAATCAAGGAAGATGGGGTTAAATTGGTTCGGGATCTGTTTAATTATCGGCTCGTTGCGGACGAAATGGTCGAAATATTAAGAAGAGAATAGAATAAGAGTATCGATTATTTTCGAAGTAATTGTTGTTCGAATAATAATTTTACAAGAGTGATGTGGTGAAATTTTGGCAAAAGGATGCGTACAGTTTCGAATATTCCTCGAAAATTGATTTCAAGCTTTCGACAAGTAGTATAAATGATTTTTTATCAGACCGGCGGATCGATCGGCGAGTTAAATTCTCGGGCGATATAACTTCCACATAAAATAAACTCGCATAAAACTTGAAAATCCCCTAACACACAAGTTCCACCGCACTACGAAACGAAATTCAAAAGCAAGAGAGCTGCCAACGGTAAATAATAACCGTATTCCATTGAAGTTTCGCTCAAAGCTTTACCTTTATACAGGGTGCACCAGGTTTTTCCCTGCAAAATGATGCCAGCATATTCCATGTGTAAAAACAAGAAGAAATATCGTATAAACATGGACTCATGAATGTTTTATTAAAAAGTTGTAAGAAATGGATCATTTCCGTAAAAAATTTTTCATTTCATTACGCAAGAATAAACAACTATTTAGAGATTGATCGATTAATTATGCATATTTTCTCTCATAAATATTTACCATTTTTTTTTTCGAAATAAAGAAATGAGAGTTGAAAAAACGCTGAAGTTTTCATAACAGTCAATTTTGATAATAAAAACGAGAAAGTTTTACAAGTAAATTTTACACATTTTATCCTCATTTTTATCTGATTATCAAAAAAAAAGTTGACAAATTATAAAAAAGATTTACAATTTATAATTTATTATTAGTGATATTATTAATTAATAGTGAATTATCGTACAAGAGAAATTGCGCTTTAACGCAATTTCACAACAAAAAAAAACTTGGTACGCCCTGCATACCCATTTGCTCAACAATTCCAAGGATGTACAAATGGGCGAAACGCGATCCGGAAAAGGGTTCAAATAGAATTTACGCCTGGGGCTAGTTCGTGGCGGTCGAATTTGAACAACTCCCTTGATACCAACCCGCTTAATTTACGCCGGGCAATCAAATCGCCCCGATAGCCGGCAGCCAACACAAAGGATCGAAACGGCCCGAGAACAACCCGATGAAATATTCGTGCCACCTGTAAGAACGCGCGTTCCCAAAGCGATGAAATCGGTGAGAGCGCGATCGACGCCCCCTCTCGCGTATTTCTTCGGTACTTTTCGGTGATCGGTCGGCGGACAGCTGTGAAAAATTAATTTTCTCCCAAGCAGCCGATCCCTGACCAGTGAAAACATTCACCTTTGAACCATGTGTACGGTCCCAGTGACCCAGAACCCGCGAATCTCTCGTTCAACCTTCGTCCGACCGTCCATCACTGGGAACTTTCCAAGTTTCGATAGAGAAGTTGGCAATCCAACGGTTGTCACGGCCAAACCGTGAAACTTATTTGCAACGATAGGATCCTCCTCGCAGAGATTTGATTACGAGACGATTTTTCAATTTCCATTTCATTTTTCACACTCGTGGAATAGAGCTCGGAAGTGTCCGGAGTTTTATAATCTGAACGAGGAGATTATAGATGTCTGATAATATTCCGAAGTTTTGACGCGTACGAGAGAATAAAAAGTGCTTGAGGTGAGGTTAAGTTGGAAAATTCGTTGAGTTGAAGAGCGGATTGGCCAGATCAAACTTTTTCGTACGATTTTTACGGAGATTCGACCAATTGTTGTTTGTCAAACATCTGACAATCTCGATAAAACGAATAAAATTCCCAACTGTTGTTAACAGTTTCGAAACCAATTTGAAAAACCATGCGACACGTAGCTTTTATCGTTAGCCCCATTTCGGCTATCCTGCAACGCCCTCCAGATTAATTCAATTCGGATCGAGCGAGCATTCGAGGGCAGAAGGAAACCAGGGTAAGGAAAATGAGCTCGAGAATCCAGCAGAAGGGGAATTTCGAACGAAGGAAATCTAGATTAAAGAGCAATTAGGAAAAAAGGAAAAAAAACTCCGAACGAAAAGAAAGGGAAATCGAAAATAAAAAGGACGAATGGAAGAAAAACCTAGCCACCGGATCACTCTCTGACAGGCCAAAATATTAGAGTTGGAAGCGTTTCATTGGACCCACTTTCCCGCTCGGTTAGTCAAGATTCCACGGTGGCATTTCGCCCGACTCGTTAGTCATGGTAGTTAGTCATGCTACATGGATCTCGTCCCGAGGAACGAAGAAGAAGGAAGATGAAAAAGAGGGAGACTGCTCGAGCAGCCGCACAGCCGATGGATAGAAACGAAAACGGCTTCCCTCTGTTCCCATTTCCTTCTACGTTCCCGTCAGTATCCCTTTCTATCTTCTTTTTTTTTTTCCTATATCCTTCCCTTTTTTACCCTTTCCGGTTTCGTGTCACAGGGATTTCGATGCGTTCGAGGCGCGCTCCATCGGCGGCTATTTTTGTATGTACATATAGACACAAAAGCTGCGCAACGTCGAATGCACATCACCGTTCCTCAGGCGCGTAAACGTCCGTCTTCAGTGTTGATTGTTTTTTGCTGTTTATATTATTCCCAATTTCTCTTTGTCTTTTTACACTTTGTCTGTCTGTCTGTCTGTCTGTCTGTCTGTTTGT